CAGAGTAAATGATCCTGCACATCTCTGTGCCATAGGAAAACAGTGGGCTCAGCACTGGACTTTTTTTGGGGGGGTGCACACCCACTTGCCTGAAGGCATCTGAGCTGGGCAAAGAAGGTGCGACAGGGAAGAGGAGGAAAAAATGTGTAGAATTCCCCGCATCTCCTTTTGCAAATGTCACTGCACTGCTTTTAGCGCAGGTTCCCTGTGCTGGTCTGGCTGTAGCCCCACCCTCTGAACTCCGCCCGGGCTGGGTGGCTGTAGTGGGAGTCCCCTCTTGAGCAATTCCTAAATCACAGTAATTTCCTTTATATCGTGATTTTTCCACTTGCGCATGCGGGAAACTGACACCCTGCACCTTATGCTAGATCCAGAGTCCTGGTGTTGTTCCAGGAAAGCAGCTTCTCTGGGTTTTCAATCCCTCCCCCACAGAGCCTGTCCTACCTGGCTGTCTCTGCTACTGCCAGAAACCTTAATGCTTCTTAAAGAAAATAATAGCAAAATGTTAAGACTACTTTCACTGAATGATTTCAGAAAGGGTTTGCTTTCTTTATTTTTAACAAGTCATCCAAATAATCCCATAACTGAAAAATCAAGTGACAAATATTTGAGAGGCCCCTTTTATTAACGTAGCACAGATGGGACAATGGAGTACCAGTAAGCTGTTAACCTAAAACTAAATGATTCAAACCCATCAGACACTCTGTGCTAGAAAGAAGTGGCTTCTGCAAAGATTATAGCCTTGGAAACCCCAGGGGTAAGTTCTACTCTACCTTTCAGGGTGGCTATGACTTAGAATCAACTCAACAGCAATGGACTATCTTTTATAAAATATTAATTGGCTTTTTTCAACTATGTTGTTGCTACTACATGCTGTCAAGTTAGTTCCAACTCATAGTGACCAGGAATGGGTGGGTTTTAACTGTTGACCTTCAGGGCTTATGCTACAGTGCCACCATAAAAACCCTATAAATTATTTAATAATTTCTAGTAGTGGTTACGAATCGGGCTGCGAACCTTACGGTCAGCGGTTCGAAACTACCAGCTGCTCCGCGGGAGAAAGATGAGGCTTTCTACTCCCGTAAAGATTTACACCCTCGGAAACCCTGTACAGGGTCGCTATGGGTCGGAACCGACTCGACGGCACTTAACAACAACAACAGTGTTATCTTATATACACAACCAATATAGAAAGATAATTTTTAATGATTATAGTAAATGTAAGAAAATAGAAACCAAAACAAGTAATTCAGAAAATAGTTTTTAAATTACAAAAATAGTAAATACTTGCCAAAACTTTCCAACAATACATAGGTAATGATTGTTAACAATCTGTTTCCAAACCCTTCGAAATAAATAAGTATAAATACAGATGTGTACCAGATGCAAAAATAAAAGCAAAAATTAATAAGTTGATTAATATTATTGCATCCACACTATAAAAATTAGATATCAGAATGCCATCAAAGCTAAGGATTCAATTGGCTGGACTGAATTTCACCTAAAATCTTCAAAGAAGCATTTGAAGTTTATAGATATCACATCTATAAATTTATAATAATGACAATAATTCATAACAAAGATCATGTGATATATATTTGTAATTCAATATTACTATATTTGCTAAATCAATTTAAATGCTTAAATTATATCTTATTTCTATTGAATCAACTTAATTAAAAGATCATTCTATTCTGTTTACATGTTTCTTGCAAATGATCTCCTTTCTCTCCAAAAGAACCCTAAATGACAAAGTAAAGACATATGTTATGATGGTAACAATGTCCAGGATCTCATCTCATCCTCCAAACTTGATCAAACCACAGTCCTGCCAGAAAGCCAATGTGAAACAATAAAATGGAATTTAATAAGAGTTAAAAGTACACTAAAAAGAATTAATATGTTATTTCTCTTGATAATCCCTTCTTGCATAATTTTTTTGGGGGAATCTGTAACTTGGGTATTTTGTGTTAGTATATGGTGGTGGTGATGTGCTGTGGAGTCGGTTCCAACTCATAGCAACCATGAATAGAGTTTTTTTTCTTTCATGGAACTGCTGGTAGTTTAGAGCTGCTGATCAATACACCTTGATTGCATGTTTGATCAATTTCAGATTCAAGAAGTTGGTAGAACTCTTTTATTTCATCCTCACTGGTTTTAGTGGTTGGTTTGTAAATTTGAATAATAGTGGTATTAACTGGGCTTCCCTGTAGGCACATGGATATTATCCTATCACAGACAGTGTTGTGCCTCATGACTGATCTGGATATGTTCTTTTTGACAATGAATGCAACACCACTCCTCTTCAATTTGTCATTCCTGGCATAGTAAACCATGGGGTCATCAGATTTTAAATGGTCAATACCAGTCCATTTCAGATCACTAATGCCTAAGATATCGATGTTTATGCATTCCATTTCATTTTTGACAGCTTCCAATTTTCCCAAATTCATACTTCATACATTCCATGTTCAAATTTTCAGTGGATGTTTACAGCTCTTTCTCTTCATTTTGAGTTGTACCCCATCAATAAATGAAGGTCCCACGGGCTTTACTCCATTCGTGTTATCACAGTCAACTCTACTTTGAGGAGGCAGCTCTTCCCCAGTCACATTTTGAGTGCCTTCCAACCTGAGGGGCTCATTTTATGGCACTGTATCTGACAGTGTTTCTCTGCTATTCATAAGGTTTTCAGTGACTAAAGATTTGGAAGTAGTTCATCACTCTTACTTCCTAGTCTGTCTTTATTTGGAAGCTCATCTGAAACCTGTCCACCATGAGTGACCCTGCTGGTATTTAAAATCCTGGTGGCATAGCTTTCAGAATCACAGCAACTCACAAGCCACCACAGTACGACAGACTGACAGACAAGTGGTGGCTCTTTGGTTTTAAGTGGAAACTGTCACTTTAAATTTTGAGGAGCTCTGTGCACATGCATAGTAGAACCCTCCAGGGGTGGGGTTGGGGTGTCCACCTGTTAGTAAAGTATAGAGTCGACTAAAATGAGGAAGACATTGAGATCTGTTGGCATAGTGGCAGCAGCAATGGACCGGCAGTGTTTCATTCTGTTGTGCTTAGGGTCACTATGAGTCAGTTCCAGGTCGATGGTACCTAACAACAACAACAGAGTAAGGTCTTTGGTGGAAACCTGAGACCTACCCAGAACTGCTGTGGGAACAAGAGTTCAACCTTTGAAGGAAAGACCTGCAGAGTTTAAAAATATTACTGATTGACTTTTTTTAATTTTAAGCAAGCAGTTTTTATTTCAAATGCATCAAGACAGAAAAAGTCTGTACCCATCAGATAAAATCCCCTTCTAGGACTGAAAGTTAAAGGGAGCCAACAAGCAGACAGTCTGGCATTTTCATTGGTGATCTCCTGGGTCTACTTGATGAGTGGGAAGTGGGGTAATACACAGCAATGAAGAGACCACTTGAAAGAAAGGAGAGGAAGGGCTGACTGCTCTGAAGTTTAGAGAGTTTGTAGACTCATGAGTCTATGGGCACTGACCTTGCCCATGGGGGCTAAAGCTAAGAGAGAGAAAGGACACTTCAGGGAGAAGTGTGTAGACTCCCAAGCTTGCTGCTGGTACTCATTTGACCTAGCTTAAAATGCTAGGCCTGAATAGACCAGAATCCAACCAAATGAAGAAAAATGTTTGATACAGTAAACTGGTATAAGATCCACTTTGATGATTTTCTCTGAACTGGACTTTGCTTATGAATGTAGATGACCAGAGTTCCAAGGAACAAAAGAATCTTCTCATTAAGGAATTTGTTTTTCTTCTGAAAGTTAATAATAGGAGAAATTGTGCAAGTGGAAGAAGGGGAACATGGCAACGCTCTATGCTTTCTGTGTAATTTTTCTGTAAACTTAAGACTACTTTTTTTTTTAAAAAAGTCTGTTTAAACAACAATAACAACAAAAAAAACAAATTATAGAGTGGGAGAAAGAATTTGCAAAACATAATAAACTGTTAAGGCTAATACTCACTGTCGTTGTTGTTAAGTGCCATCAAATCAATCCCAACTCATAGTAACCCTATGGTTTATGAGGAGCAGTTGGTGAGTTTGAACTACTGATCTTGCAGTGCAAACCAGCCTTGCAGTCTAATGCTTACCCTACAGTGCTACATCAGGAATATACACTACATTTTAGAAATTTCTTAGTCAATGAAGACCAGTGACATTCAACAATAAAATGGTTGACGTATATGAATTAGAATATCACCTAAAAACATAAAATGGTCACTAAGCAATTGACAGCTTCACTAATAATCAAATTAATATGGCACCTCATTTTAATTTTATTATCTGACAGTGCAAAATAGTTAAGGTGTGACTATATGTATATTTAGTTGAAATGCAGTTGAGTCTATAAATTGCATGAAACTGCTGAAGAGATTTCACAGCATCTGTCAAAATTTTTAATGTGTAAACTATTCAGCATAGAAATTCTTCTTCAGGAATTCATCTACAAAAATAGCCACTGAAATATACAATGACATAAGAGGTATCTGAATTCTCAAAGGAGCATTCTTAAATAGAGAATAAGAAATGTCTATCAGTGAAAAACTGGACAATAAAATTCCTAATTATGATACAATACATCACCATGCAGTCATTAAACAAAAAGTAAACTAGAAAATACAAGAACAGCTGTCATAATCATTGAAATACTGCTAAGTGTAAAAAAGAAAAATGCATAATAATACAAATAGACAAGTTATATCTTTAGAACTCTGTGTGTATGAGAGACAGAGAGTTCTGGAAGGATATACCATCAGGTTGTTTTCAAAAGGTTGGGAAAGGTTTACATTTTCACACTATTTCCAAAGGATTGGGGGAAGGTTTTCATATCTACAACTATATATTTGTTTAACATGTATTGGATGAAAAGAATTCCTAACTGGAAACAGGAAATTCTGCCAACCAATAAGTGTTTCTCTAAGGGAAAAATCTCTACCTTAGATAGGGAGATTAAAACAGCAAATAACTTACCCCAATGTAACAAAGCCACATAGAATTTTTGACAACTCATCTTACTTCAGAGAAGCAGTGCTGAAAAACAGAAAATATAAAACAATAACATGAACAAAGAACAATTCCCCCCCACACACACACATACATATGAAAGCAGCAGTCAAGAAATCAAACGCTGTACTGCATTAGGAAAATCTGTTGCACAAGACCTTTTTAAAGTGTTGAAGACCAAAGATGTCAGCTTGAAGACTAAGGTGCGCCTGACCCAAGTCATGGTATTTTCAATAACCTCATATGCATGCGAAAGATGGACCGTGAATAAGGAAGACTGTAGAAGAATTGATGCTTTTGAGTTATGTTGTTGGAGGAGAATATTTAAAGTGCCATGGGCTGCTAAAAGAACCAATAGATCTGTTTTGGAAGAGGTTACATTCATATATACATGAAAATATGTTGTTGTTGTTGTTGTAATGTGCCGTTGAGTCGATTCCGACCCATAGTGACCTTGTATAGGGTTTCCAAAGAGCAGATGGTGAGCTTGAACCACTGACCTTGCAGTTCAAACGACTTTGCAGTCTGATGCATTAACCCACAGCACCACACCAGGACTCCCATGTGAAAATATAGAGATCATAAATAAGTATTAATTGTAATTTAGTGGATTCATATGAGATTTCTCACATGAAAATGTTATGTATTTATTCCAATGCATATACATCTAAAATAGTTAGACTTAAATCCTATAATTAAAAAAACACATTTGATGGCTCTTTGCAACGGCAAACCCAAAAGTTCAAGCATCACACGATAAAACTGAATTTTTAACTAAACAAAAGTGCTCAGTGTTGATTAAATATGTAAAGCCAATCTATCATCAATATCAGGTTTCATATTTTTCTAGCTCACTTTCTAAATGTGTCTTTGTTCTGAAGTCTTTACCTTTGCTAAGGCACCACAAAATCAAACATTATACCGCAGGAAATGATTGCATATTTCCAATAAATAGGAAAAAATTCTCCAACATGCTTTTGGAAATTCATTGTTTACATACAGATATGGCAACATTTACATTACAGAATTATCCAAGTCATTCAAGGAAAATCTCATGGCTTTAAGAGATCCAAATGATAGGGATAATGTTATTGACAAGATTTCCATAAATTTTATTCTATTAGAAGCATACCATGAATATGCTGTGGAGTAAAATTATTGTTGTTGCTGTTAGGTGCCTTAGAGTCGGTACTGACTCATAGTGACCTTATGCACAACAGAATGAAACACTGCCCGATCCTGGGCCATCCTCACTAATGTTGCCACGCTTGAGACCATCAATGAAGCCACTTGGCCAATCCATCTCGTTGGGGGTCTTCGTCATTTTCTCTGATCCTCCACTTTACCAAACATGATATCCTTCTCCAGTGACTGGTCTCTCCTGACAATATGTCCAAAGTATGAGAGACAAAGTTTGGCCGTCTCAGCCTCCAAGGAGCACTCAGGCTGCACTTCTACAGATAGTCAATTTAATTTCCATCTATTCCATCTGATGAGTTCCATGTGTATAGTCATTTCTTATGCTGTCTAAAGAAGGTATTTGAAATGAACAAATCATTGATTTTGCAGAAGGGCTAGCATGCAATCTCCAAGATCATTTCTATCACCAAGGCCATATTTTCCAGCCACTGATCCTTCCTCTTTGCTCCCAACATTTGCATTCCAATCACCAGTAATGATCAATACTTCTTGACTGCATGTTTGATCAATTTCAGATTGAAGAAGTTGGTAGAATTCTTCTATTTCTTCCTCATTGGTTTTAGTGGTTGGTGCGTAAATTTGAATAATAGTGGCAGTAACTGGGCTTCTCTGTAGGTGCATGGATATTATCCTATCACAGTCAGCGTTGTACCTCATAACTGATCTGGATATGTTCTTTTTGACAACGAATGCAACACAATTCCTCTTTAATTTGTCATTTCTGGCATAGTAAACCATGTGGTCATCAGATTGAAAATGGCCAATGCCAGTCCATTTCAGCTCACTAATGCCTAAGATATCGATGTTTATGTTTTCCATTTCACTTTTGACAACTTCCAATTTTCCCAGATTCATACTTTGTACATTCCATGTTCTGATTTTCAATGGATGTTTACAGCTGTTTCTCTTCATTTTGAGTTGTGTCCCTTCAGCAAATGAAGGTCCCACGGGCTTTTCTCCCATGGACTTTTCTCCATTTGTGTCATCATGGCCAAGTCTACTCTGGGAGGCAGTTCTTCCCCAGTCACATTTTGAGTGTCTTCCAACCTGAGGGGCTCATTTTCAGGACGATATCTGACAGTGTTTCTTTGCTATTCATAAAGTTTTCAATGACTAAATATTTGGAAGTAGTTCGTTCTTCACTCCTTCTTCCTAGTCTGTCTTCATCTAGAAGCTCATCTGAAACCTGTCAACCATGGGTGGCCCTGCTGGTAGTTGAAACACCGGTGGCATAGCTTCCAGAATCACAGCAACTCACAAGCCACCACAGTACAACAAACTAACAGGTGAATGGCGGATATACTGGGTTTGGATATGTAATGAAACATTAAATATTTCGATGTTCCAGTCATTACTTTAGCTCACATTGAGAATGTCATTCATAACATAAAGATAATTTAAGGGAAAAAGCCCTGAACTAGGTGTCAAAAGTGGTAAGTGTAGTTCATTCATTAATTAATAGGACTGAGGACTTTAAACCTCAAATAGCTCATCCAATAAAACAGATTGTTGGATGATCTTTATGATTCTTTTCTGATGGGATCTTAATCTAAAATAGAAATTCCAGAACTCTCAATGCTGTGGAAATTTGCCATAAAAAATACTATAAAATATTATAGTTAGAAATATGTCTCAATACCACTGAAAAGTGGTATCATATAAACAGAAAAATGTGTTTACTATACAATCTACATGACTTTGGAAGAAAACGAAATGTGAGAAATGTTAGCAAAAACATTTTACAGGTTTGTATTTTTTTTTCCACAACTACCAGTTCTTAATGAGAATTTAGGGTTTTTTTATATACTGATATTACAATATTTCTTTAGAATTTCTAGAAACTGGTTCCATTTATAATCTTCATGACCTGATCATATTAAATGTATGTAATTTCCTTCCAGGTTTTTTTTTTTTTTTTTTCCACCTGCTCCTAATCTACAATTTTCTTAACCTCAAGAGTAAATTTCATAAGCAGGTGCATTTAGTACAACTTACAAGGAGCTCTGGTAATGTAGTGGTTATGAATCGGGCTGCGAACCTTAAGGTAAGCAGTTCGAAACTACCAGCCGCTCAGCGGGAGAAAGAGAGGCTTTCTGCTCCCGTAAAGACTTACAGCCTCGGAAACCCTGTACAGGGTCGTTATGGGTCAGAACCAACTCGACGGCACATAACAACAGCAACAACAACTACTAAAATAAGGGTTTTGATAGAACTGTGACCAGTAATTCATTCCAACAATTGACTTGACTCATTTTTAACTCAGCTGATCTGGAGTTAGGTGACCAAATGGTTGTCTCTACATGACAACCGTTCTTTTACATAATGTTCCATGCAATACACAACTATTCTAATGGTTTAAATTTTGCAGCCAGCTTTTCTCTTATATAACAAAGAAATAATCATGAGTGTGAAGAGGACACAGATGCAACCTTGAGAGATTAAAAAGATGTTAACTTCAAAGAGATAAATTTCTATATACACCCTACATTGTACCAATAAGGAATAAAAGATTTACAAAAATACATACAATATGAAAAATGTCAGAGTATTTAAAACTATGAAGAAAAAAATGAATCAAATGGAAATTTACTCGTAGTGTGACCAAAACAAGACTATAAAAACACAAATTCCATTAAGTTTAATTCACTTCTGGACAATCCATAAATTTGCTGGAAGCTTTTTTTTGGTCAAATTGTTTAATTAAAAATGCACAGAGTTCTTCAAGTAAAATGAAACCATCCACTCTACAAATGTTCAAATACTCCCAAGACTAAGGCCAGAAGGAAAATTTTCCTGATTAATTTCATAAAATAAATAAAATCCTCATAAGGCTTTTTCCCCTGTGTGCATGTGTCTTTTCATGTCTGTTTTCCTTTTTCACAAGACATACTCAGAAATAATTAGGACTCCTGGTGTAGAATCAGCAATGGGCTCTGAATCACAAGGTTGGCAGTTCAAACCTACCAGCTGCTCCTCAGAAACAAGTTGGCTATGAGTCAGAACTGACTTGACAACACTAACAATAACAACAACTCAGAAAAAAATAGGTTTAGGGCCCACCTTATTATATTATGCCCACAATTAAAACTTAAAAGAAAACTGCTATTTCCAAGCAGAGTCATATTCCCAAGTACTGGGGCTAGGATACTGACATATTGAAAGCACACAGTTCAATCCATGGTATACCCAATATATGATATAAAAAACTCAGATATTGTGGGTGAGAATATAGCCAATTCATTAACCAGACTGGAAGAAGTAAAATATTGCCCATTAAAATCAATGGAATAAACTGAAATCTAGATAAAATCTAGGACCATGAAGTTGCTAAAGGGAATGAGTCAGGATCAAGAATCCGGGGACCCGCCTCGACATTGGGGTTCAGTTCACGAGGAGAGGATACCTGACGGTGATTCATATATATCAAGAATACACAGAAAGAGACAAAGGAGACAAAGAGAGAGACAAAGAGGCACCCCAAAGCCAGGGTGGATACATCACTGATAGGCAAGCTTGGGACTACAGGCATGGTGGC